TATGTACAACATGAGAACTACAATGACAATATATATGTACACAGAGACAGTCAAAGATCAACACTAGTAGTCAAAATCAGGCTGGGGTTAACAGGGAAACAGGTTATCAATTCCTCATATGCAAGTTCAAACTGCAGGAGAAGAGATAAAATAGGACCCTTAAGTTTACCCCAACAGAGTCTAAAAAAGTGTCTTATAATAGATTTAAGACATTTAAAATGAATGACAAAACATCTGAAGAACTATAGAATGACATCAAGGATATCACCCATAAAGAAAGCAAAAAGTTTTTACAAAAACAGAGAGGAAAGAAAAGACTGAAATGGATGTCACAAAATATTCTGAAACTTGCACTGGAACTAAAAGAAGCCAAAACAAGAGGAAGAAATGCTGAGGTACAAGAGTCAAATAGGAGATTTTGAAGGGCAACTAAAAGAACACAAAATATTATGACAAAATATGTAAACAATTTTAAGATTAGATTATTATATATAACAATATTAAAGTGGACTCTATATTAGTTAAATACCTAGAAATGTAAGATTATAAAGTTAATAGATATATAATTCATTGAAGATAATAACTATAAAGTTTAGCTGTAAAAATACTGAATAACAAAAAAAATTAAAAATTAAATTTTTTTCTTTCAAAACAGAGATCTGACAGATGAAAGATACCATAAAAGAAGCTGAAAAAAGAAATATTGGAAATTACCAAAAAACGAATTCTAAAATATACAGTCATCATCTTTAATCAACCACTTCGTGGCACAACTTGGTGAGCACATCCAGGCAGCATCTCTTAGCTGAAATATGTCAATTGGTATACCATCTATTCCTGGGGACTTATTTTTTACTATTTCCTTCAAAGCAGCCTGAACTTCTTCCTTCATCACCATAGGCTCTTGTTCATATGTTGTTTCATGAAATTCTTCTGTGTCTGCCAATTCCTTTTGATACAGTGACTCAGTATATCCTTTTCATCTTCTTTTAACACTTCCTGGATCATTTAATATTCTTCCTAAAGCATCCTTGATTATAGAATCTCGAGGTTTGAATTTATTCTTCAGTTCTTTGACCTTAAGAAATGCTGAGCAAGTTTGTCCCTTTTGATTTTTCTGACTCCAACTCTGTGCACATTTCATTGTAATATTTTACTTTGTCATCCAGGTGCTGTCATGGATGTGCTCACCAAGTTGTGTCAAGAAATCTGGAGAACAACCACTTGGCTAACTGACTGGAAGAGATCTGAGAGTATGGAAACTATAGAACAATATCATTGATTTCACATGCAAGCAAGATTCTACTGAAGATTATCCAAAAATGATTGGAACAGCACATCAGCAAAGAACTGCCAGAAGTCCAGGCTGGGTTTAGAAGGGGTTGTGGTACTAGGGATATTGTAGCTAATGTTAGATGGATCTTAGCTGAAAGCAGGGAATACCAGAGGAATGTATATCTGTGTTTCATTGATTATGCAAAGGTGTTTGACTGTGTGGATCATAACAAACTGTGGCTGACTGACTGTGAGAAGAATGGGAATCCCAGAACATTTGATCATGCTAATGTGAAACCTATACTTGGACCAAGAGGCAGTCATCAGAACAGAGCAAGGAATCACTGCATAGTTCAAAATTGGGAAAAGCATATGCCAGGGTGTGTCCTGTCTCCATACCTTTTCAACTTGTATGTAGAACAGATTATCCGGGAGGCTGGGCTCTATGAGGAGAAGTGTGGCATCAGGATTGGTGGAAGACCTATCAACAATCTGTGATATGAAGATGACACAACCCTGCTTGCTGGAACTGAGAGGACCTGAATTGCTTGGTGCAGAGGGTCAAGGACTGCAGCTTTCAATATGGATTGAGGCTCAATATCAAGAAGACAAAGATTCTCACCACTGGACCAATTGGCAGCAACAGAATGGATGGTGAAGAGATTGAGATTGCTCACAGCTTTAGTTTGCTTGGCTCCACAGTGAACACTCTTGGCACCAATAGGCAGGAAATAAAAAGACGTATTGCGATGGAAAAGTCTGTGGTTAGGGACCTCTCTAAAGTACTCAAGAGCAACGTGTCTCTCTGCAGAATAAGGTCCGCCTGGTACAGGCTATGGTCTTTGCAATCACTTGTTATGCATCAGAGAGTTGGACAATGACTAGGGAGGATAGAAGGAGAATTGAGGCTTTTGAGCTGTGGTGCTGGAGAAGAGTATTGAAGGTACAATGGACTGGTAGGAAAACAAACAGATTCATCCTGCAAAGGGTTAAACCGGGCGGCCCCCTGGAGGCAAGGATTCTCAGGCTCCATCTAACATACTTTACTATAACTATTCTCATTCTTTAGTGTTCAGAGGGTCAGCTATGTGTTGGTTCCAACACAATGGCAAAAAATTCAGTAGGCCATCAGAGGAGACACTCTTCCACAAAGCCAGCACTTTCCGATGCAGGAGAGAGAAAAGACTGAAACTCCCCTGGGGAAAGGTCCTTCCATTTGTGGATCACTGTTTCCATAGAGCCATCTCAGGGACCAAACAGGACAATAGAGTTTGATACAGAGAGCTACAAGCAGGGGAAAGCCTCACTTTCTCAGCTGGCACATTGAGCTTCAAGAAAAAGAGCTGACTTGAAACCCCTGTGAGTGGACAGGAACTGCTTCTGTGGAACACTTGGTCTTGCACCACTCAGCAGACAACAAAGGACAATGGAACCTGGGAGAGGATACTACAATAAGGCAAGATTCCTGCTGGGCTGAGTTGCAGACCAGAGATTATCTGAAGGACTTTAGGAAAAGCAAATTTTCCCAGAAAGGACTTCCAATAGAGTGAATAGCCCACCTCATAAATTGAACATTTTAAGCTGGCAACTAATAAATAATATCATGAAGATAAGAATTATCAACAACCTATGCAGACAATAGAAATGGCGTAACACTTACCAAGAAAAACTGCACCTAATGTCAAGAAAGAAGCAGATAGCTTCAAACATGATGAAAGAACAAATTAGGCCTTCTCCAAAAGGCAGAGCATATTAACAGTGAATATCTCAGACTCAGGAGGGTAGAAAATATTAATCGATATGTAGGCATGTGAATACCTATGAAAGTAGGTAAAAATGGTGGAAGAAACAATGGAAGCAAGAAATAAAGGAAACATCCCAGAGGTAGAGAACCAGGACAAGTATATATTGAGGCAGACTTATTTGAATAGCTACAGAAAAAGGTGCACACGATAGAAGAAACAATAGAAGCCATCAAGAAAGTGAATACTCCACAGACAAGGAGCCAAAAGAAATATACCAATAAGAAAGAACTTGACAACTATGGAAGAAAGTACAAAAGATGGATAAAAAAAAATGGAAGAAACTGGACTCTGTGAAGAACAATGTGACATCAGGATTGGAGGAAAAATCATCAGTAAACTTAGTCATGCAGGTGACGAAATCTTGCTTGCTGAAACTGAGAAGGACTTGAAGCACTTACTGCAGAAGATGAAAGAATATAGC